TTCTAAGAGCTACTGGAAGGCACAGACCCTCTCCCCATCCCCACATCCAGATTTCTTGGATTTAGATTGTGCCAAATATAAACAATTTATGCCAAAACACTGAATAACTTAGAAGAAGTGGACAGGTTTCTAAAAACATACAGCCCACCAAAACCGAATCAAGAAGAAATGATTTGAACAGACCAATCACTAGAAGTGAAATAGAATCTGTAATTTAAAAAACAAAAAAAACCTCCCTGCAAACAAAAGTCCAGGGCTAGACAGCTTCACTGGGGAATTCTGCCAAACATACAAAGAAGAACTTACACCGATCCTTCTCAAAATCTTTGTTTAATATTTATCTTTATTTATTTATTTGGCTGGGCAGGTCTCAGCGGTGGTGCATGGGATCTTCGCTCTTCCTTTCAGCATGCAGGATCTTCAGATGCGGCATTCGGGATCTTTTCACTGTGGCATGCCAACTCTTAGTTGTGTCTAGTTCCCTGACCAGGGATTGAATCTGGGCTCCCTACATTGAGAGCTCAGAGTCTCAGCCACTGGACCATCAGGGAAGTCCCTCAAACTCTTCCAGAAGACTGAGTAGGAAGGATCACTCCCAAAGTCATTCTATGAAGCCACCATCACCCTGATACCAAAATCAGACACAGACACTACCAAGGGAAGAAAAGTACCGGCTAAAACGTGATAACTCCGGACTATGATGGCTGTCCACTGCACCAGTAACTGTTTGCAGTTCCATCCAAAAGTAGATTTCAGAGTGGATTGTGTGCATCAAAGCATTGCCCTCTCTTACAGAACTCTGTGGCTCTAGTCATCTCATTGGCTGCCCTGGGCTTTTAGCAACAGGCTTAACATTCTTAAGGAATAAGCAGTCAGTGGCACATGGTGGTTTCCATCCCCTGTAACTACTTCAAAATGAGCTTGGTGGGACTTCCCTGGGGGTCCAGTGGTTAAAATTCCACCTTCCAATGCAGCAGACACAGGTGTGATCCCTGGTCAAGGAACTAAGATCCGCATGCCTGGGAACAACTAAGCCCAACATGCCACAACTAGAGAGCCTGATAGCTGCAATGAAGACCCATGCGGCCAAAAAACAACAGCAACAGAGAGAGAGAGATGAGTTTGGTATTACTGAGTCACAATCAGAGAGGACAGGCCCCCTCAACAACCCCCATTCTTTAGTTCATCACTGACCTCCCCCCATAACTCAAATAACTTCTCTCACTTCTGCTGAAAAGGACCTAGTATGGATCCATACCTCTTAAAGATGTCTATTATGTAATCTTCCAAACAAATCCACTTGCATTCCCTCGTTTAGCTGTTACAACCATGTGGCAAGGTTATCTTTGCTCAATTTGCAAACATGAAAACTGACATTGGAAAAAGATGTCGTGTTCAAGGCCACAGACTTGACAAATAATGAGCAAGGTGCTCCGATGCCTTTCTGTCTGGCTCAGAATCTCAGGATTCCTCCCTTGGAACTTCCTTGGTGGTAAAGTCACACCCATGAGTCCCGGCTCTACGACCTACCTCTTCACTAAGTCTCAGTCTTCCCAGCTATAAAATGGGCATGTGATAATAAGACGCCTTCCCATCAGGGTAGTTGGGACCATAATTAGCAAAAAGATAGTTCCTCTGAAAATGCCAAGCAGGAGCCAGCACAGAGTAGACACCCAGGAATTTTTAGTCTCCTTCCCTCCAACTTCATGGGGCCATTGAGAAAGCTGAAGTGTACAGTGTCATCTCTCAACTGTAACACGCAGTGAGCAATGAAAACGATGGTCATGGGGCCCATCTTTATCTCAGGCTTCCCCTCACTCCCCACCCCTGTCACTCCTGCAGGTCCAGGTTTGATATGTGCAGCATTAATTCTTACAAAAGGATCCAACTAAGAGCAATTCTTGATTCTTAGCAACCTTGCAAATTCAGCCCTGCCATCCCAGATGAGGCTGTCAGCGCTTACCAGGAGAGCAGAGAAGTGCCTCGGAGAATGGCAGGTCTGAAGAAGCAGCGAGCTCTGGCCTGACAGTCTAGACTTAAATAAATTGTCTTTTGTGGCTNTCCCAGATGAGGCTGTCAGCGCTTACCAGGAGAGCAGAGAAGTGCCTCGGAGAATGGCAGGTCTGAAGAAGCAGCGAGCTCTGGCCTGACAGTCTAGACTTAAATAAATTGTCTTTTGTGGCTGGGGGCGATAAGGCCTACGTTTGAAGCCGGTTACTCTTACACGTCATTATGCACGGCAACGGGGAAGGAGAGCGGCATCTTGTCCCGAGTTTCTAGCAAAACTGCGCTGTGGGTAAATAGCTCTCAGCCTTTGATGTTGAGCAAAGAGGAAAATGATCCTCTCTGAGAAGCCAGGCAGGAGAGGCAGGCTGGCGCGGTGCAGTCAGGGCGGCCGGCGGGGAAGTGCAGTCCGTGTGCGCCTGCCTGACTCTGAGCCCCTTCTTCGGCCCCAAGAAGGCAAACTGTCTCTCCTCTAATACCCTCGAGGAGAAGCAAGCAAAAACGCTCAGGAACAATTTAGCGCGAAGCTGAGAAGACCAGAGCAGAGAAAGGTAGGGGAGGGGAGTGGAACAAGAGATCAGGTGTGAGTTCCCGCCAGAACTAGCAAGGCTGGCCAACATTTAAGGGAGCCTCCCAGAGGTGGGCGAGGGAATGGGAGTAGCAACCCCTTGAAGCCCATTCATTCATTCATCCAACAAAATAGACCCAGCCCCCACCCTCTCCAACAAACAGTCTATAAATCACCATCTAGTTATATACTTTGATATGCACTAAAAAGCAGCGGTCCCCAACCATTTTGGCACAAGAGACGGGTTTCATGGAAGACAGTTTTTCCATGGACTGGGGTGGACGTGGGGTGGGGTTGGGAGGAGGGGGTGTCAGGATGTTTTCAAGATGACTCAAGCGTATTAAATTTATTATGCCCCACTGATCTGATCTGACAGGCGGTGGAGCTCAAGTGGTAAAGCACAGGAGGGAAGGAGTGCGTGCTAAGTCGCTTCAGTTGTGTCTGACTCTTTGGGACCCCATGGACTGTAGCCCACCAGGCTCCTCTGTCCATGGGATTCTCCAGGCAAGAATACTGGAGTGGGTTGTCTTGCCCTCCTCTGGGGGACCTTCCCAACCCAGGGATCGAGTGTGCATCTCTTACATTGCGTGCATTGGCAGGTGGGTTCTTTACCACTAGTGCCACCTGGTAAGCCCAAGGGATGGGGAGTGGCTGTAAATACAGATGAAGCTTCCATCTCACCACTCACCTCCTGCCGTGCAGCCGGGTTCCTAACAGGTCATGGACCAGCAGTGGTCCGTGGCCAGGGCGTTGGAGACCCTAGCTATAAAGGGAAATACTGGGAGTGCGGGGCTTGTACCTCTTTACAGTCTCCATAATCCTTGCATGTAGTAGGAGCTCGTGCATATGACTATTGATTGGCTGATGGAAAAAGCAAGGCAGAGAGGAGCAGTATAAGGCTCAGAAACATCCCCATGACAAAGACAACATGCCCTGAAAGATCATGTGTGTTAGAACCAGACAGACGAGGCTTTGAATCTCAGTTTTTCTACTTAATAGCTGTGTGACCTTGAGCAAGTTGCTTAACCTCTCTGGGCTATGGTTTTGTCCTCTGCACAACAGAAACAACAGTATCCACCTGTGGTTACTGTTGCATGTGATAGCTGCCCTGGTGAAGGAGCAAAGGGGGAAAGTGAGGAGGGATGTTATACAACTTGGTCCATGAGCTTGGGACAGCATCCTGGAGGAGGCAGTGGATTGATTCAGTCTTGGAGAATGGACAGAAGTTGCCCAGGCAGAAAAAGGAACAAGAGCCGTTACCGGTAGTGGAAGCAGCAAAGTAGAAAGCCACAAGTAGGCGAACCAGCAGGGCACCTCCAGAGGTGCCAGAGTTGTTTAATGTAGCTCCACCCACCCACCCACTCATGTATTCATTCACTTGTCCACTTGACATATACTTCTGGAATACCCCCAGGTGCCAGGCCCTAAGCCAGGGGTAGATTCCTCAGTGAACATGCAGAGGTAACCACCAAACCCATGAGCTTATCTTCCAGTGGATTCCCATGGACTCAGATGGGAAGAGGAGGATGGAGCAGACAGAGAGAACATCATAGGAGGCTGAGTGTGGAGGGTGGGCCTGGATCTTACTCTCAGGGGGATGGGCAGCCCTGATGGATTTTAACCACAGGATTAATATAATCAGGTTTGCATTTCTGAAGGAGTGAGCCACGATTCACTTGGAGGATGGGCTGGAGAAGGTTGTCTGGAATCCAGCAGTCTAGCTAACAAACTGCAGCAGCCCAAACAAGAAATGATGGAGGTCATTAAGTTAAAGCTGTGCCGAAGAGAGAAGGCAGAAAGTCAAGTTGGATGCAGAGATAGTGTTGACGGACCCTGCTGGTTGATTGGACGTGGGGTGAGAAAGAGAAAGAGGGGACACAGTCTGAGGGTCTGGTTTGAGCCCCTGGGCAGATGGCAATGCTATTCCCCAGGACACAGTGCACAGGAGAACCATCCAGTGGGGTGCAGACGCTGAGGAAGCCTTGATCCCATTGGGACATGCTGGCAGTCAGGGGTCTATGGGTCATGCAGAAATCATGAGTATCAGTCAGTTGGGTCAGTGTGTCTGGAGCCCAAGAGAAAGCTCAGGGCTGGAGGCACAGATTACAGGATAGAAAGCATACAGACAATGCTTGAAACTTGAAAGTGGACATGGCTCCCCCCGCCCCCTGGCCCCGCCCCCAGGGAAGGATTAACAGAGGGAGAAGAGACCAGAGTCCGTGGCAACAAACCCCAAAGGGTGTCCAGATGTGTCCTTTGATGACAAAATCCAGCCCATTAACCAGGGGTGAGGTTAATCGTGGTCCCCAAGAGGGTTGGCTGTGACGGGCTGTGGGGACGCTGGCCTGCTGTTGGATTTCTGGGGTTCCCAGTCTGCCTGGAGCCCAGTCCAAAGTCACCCACTGCTTCTTTCTCTTCTCTCCCTCAGGTGTTTACAAAATATGGGAAGTGTTACATGTTTAACTCGGGCGAGGATGGCAAGCCTCTGCTCACCACGGTCAAGGGGGGGACAGGCAACGGGCTGGAGATCATGCTGGACATTCAGCAGGATGAGTACCTGCCCATCTGGGGCGAGACAGGTGAGCCGGGCCAGGGGCCGGGGCCGGGGGTGATGGCGGACGGGTGCGGCCTGGAGCGGGTTAGCTTGGCCCACCCAGTGAAGGGCTGCTCTCCATCAAGGGGTGGGTGGCATGCCAGTAAATGGGAAGGATGTCCAGGCACAAACTGTGATGCCCTGAGTTTTCCTTGGATTTCACTAGGTGGGAGGGGGCCGGTGATGGGGATACTGGAAAGGGAGGGTGGGTAGGGTGAGAGGAGGCGCGGAGGAAGGCTTGAATTAGCAAGTTCGGTTGGGGCGATGGGTGGTGCAATTTCAGGAGACGAGGAAATGATGGACCAGCCCCTTCCTCTTTCACCATCTTGAATATCCCAGCCCGGCTACAGGGCCCAGTGGAAAGGAAAGCAGATTTCTCCCACTGGGGGAAGGTGGAGGGGCTGCTGGAAAATGGAAGGGCACAGACTCAGCCTGCGTGAGCCCACGGGGACCCCGGGTATACAAGTCCCAAAGCTTATTTCATGAATCCAATTATTCGTTTATTTATTCAGCAAACTATTCATAAGCCACATATGCTATTTCAGGCTTTACACCAAAATAAGGATATTGACTTGAAAAAAGACCAAGCCCTTGATTACAGCCTAGAAGAGGAGACACACAGACCACTGGGACCTGAGGATCCCCGGTGCTGGGGTGGGATGACAGCCTTCACCTGGGAGGTGGGAGGGTGCCGGGAAAGCATTGTAGGGCTTGGGGTCCTTGCCTGGAGTCTTGAGATGATCATGAATCATACATGAGAGGTGTGCAGGAAGGACAGGGAAGGCACTGTGATGATGGAGCAGAAGTTGGAATGATATGGCGAGGAAGCCTAGGGATGCCGGCAGCCTTTGGATCTCACCAAGTGAAGTGAAGAGGTGCCCAAGCGTGGGACCCTAAATGCCAAGAGAGATTCACAGAACCCTCGGTTCAGGGTCCAAAGATGGGGAGGAAGAGGAAGTCTAGAGAGGGGCCTGAGAGGGCGCACAGGGAGGGTTGAAGGGTGAGCAGATCTCAGCAGGAAGGAGGCCTGGGCCCTCAGGTTGGAGCTGAGGAGGGGAATCGAGGTCAAACATGCCCGCCCTCATTTCTTGCAGCCCAGCCTCCATCCCGTGATTCCACAGCTGTTCCCTCAGCCCCATCCTGAGGTCTGGCTCTCCCCAGTCCCAGGCCCTCCAGGCTTCTGAGGGCAGCAAGGGCCTCCACCCTGGGAGGACAGACCATAAGCCCAGAGCTCTCTCCCGCCCACCGCACCCCCTCTCCAGGCTCCCCGCCTCTGAGCGCCCCTCAGGGCACGTTGTGGTCACTCCTGCTCCTGAAGAGTGAAATGGCCTCACAAGCATCACCCGCTCACCGTCTCTGGGAGCTCACCTCAGGCTCCAGCCCTCTGCCAAGCAGACACTTAGTTGAATCCATCCACTTCCCTAAATTCAGGGTCCCCACTGCCTTCTTGCCTGGAGAATCCCGGTGGACAGAGGAGCCCGGCGGGCTACAGTCCATGGGGTCCCAAAGAGTCAGACACGACTGAGCGACTGAGCACTGCCCTCCAGCAAACAGATAAAGAAATGTATTAGTGCCAAGCTCTGGAAAAGGGCCCACAGAGGCTGGGTTTCCAGAACATCCTTCAGGGCAGCCTGTGTTCTGTGACCTGGGGCCCAAAGACAACCCTGGGTCCTGGGAGCTGGGACCAGGTCTTGGGGACCTGGTCCTCTACCTTGCAGACATAGGAAAATATTTGCATATTGAACTTCTTGTGGAAAAGGAGAGAAATAAAAAATGAATCCTGGAGGGACGTCCCTGCTGAGCCACTGGTTAAGAATCCGCCTGCCATTGCAAGGGACACAGGTTCAACCTCTGGTTTGAGAAGATCCCACATGCTGAGGGGCAACTAAACCTGTGCACCACAACTACTAAAGCCTGCACACCCTAGAACCCAGGCTCTGCAACAAGAGAAGCCACCACAATGAGAAGCCTGCACAATTAGAGAGTAGCCCCTGCTTGCCGCAACTAGAGAAAGCCCACGCATGGCAACAAAGACCCAACACAGCCAAAAATTAAATTAAAAAAAAGAAAAGAATCCTGGAGACCCCATACCTACAGCCTGACCAGAAGTTAGTTATATCCTCCCAGTATAATGTTGGATTTCTCACCTGTTACCTTGAGTCAGGAGCCAAAGCACATGTATACACACACACACATACACACACACACACACATGCACACAGACAAACACACACACACACTCACAAGGCAGGCAACCCCATCCCCAGACATCCTCACCCAGCACGGCTCCCTGCAGGGTCACCTGGGGTCTGCGCATTGGCCACTGATGGCCTGGGTTCCAACCTCAGGGTCTTTCCCAGGGAATCTGCATTCTGCCCCCTGAAGCCGTGGATGGCCTGAGCAGGAAAGAACATGAGACCATCTATTCCAGACACACACACACACACACACACACACACACACACACACACATTGATGGCCTGGGTTCCAACCTCAGGGTCTTTCCCAGGGAATCTGCATTCTGCCCCCTGAAGCCGTGGATGGCCTGAGCAGGAAAGAACATGAGACTATTCCAGACACACACACACACACACACACACACACACACACACACACCGCCCCTGCATGCCTGTTCTACAGAGGCCTGGTGGGAAGCAGTGATGGACTGACAGTCACATGGTGAATCTGTGGCCAAGCCAGGACTACACTGACCCAAGCTTCTTGACCAGCCATCAGCCCTCATGGACCATGAGCTATATCCATTCAAGACAAATCCATAATCGTGGCTAAGGACCTACTGTGAGCCTAACACCTAGGCAGGACACGGTCTGACTAGAGAAGACACAGGACAAAGACCCTGCCTTTCAAGCTACTATCAGGAACCAGATCTGCACACAGAATCCAGAAGAAGTTCCAGGCTCCCTCCTGCCAGCAAAATGAGTGAGAGTTGTCCCGAGTGAGACACCAAAACTTGTCACTCAAACCGTGTCCTCTGAGGTTGGATAATTCAGGGCGTGAAGGAGAAGGGGTTGAAAGCAGGACAGAAGCCAGAAGAAATTAGTTAGAGAGGAAACTGGTCATTGCCGTCCAACAGGACTTTCTGCAATGCTATCTGTGCTGTCCTATGTGGTAGCCACACTGAGCCTTTGATATGTGATCAGTGAGGAACTGAATTTTTATTATCATTGGATGTATATTCATTTAAATTGCCACAGGGGGCGAGTGGCCGCCATATTGGAGAGCACAGCTTCAGAAGCTCTGGTTGACTTCTTGAAGTTTTGCCTTTGCAGCCACCCCCGCATTCCTCTGGGGCCATAAGCACCCCTCCCTCCCAGCCTTCCCCTCATGCTGAGCAATAGGAAGGGCTCCTTATCTCCATTTGCCAGGGATGAAGGCTGAGGTTAGGCGACTTCACCCAGGCCACCCAGCCATGCCTCCTGAATCCCCACACCCAGACTTCCTCCACAGTACCTTTCTTCAGGCTGAGAAATCACTGTGTCATGAGCATTTCTTGGAGACTCCGGTCACCTCAAAACTGCTTGTGTCCTGGGCTGGTGGAGGGTGAGCCTCACATGGGTGGAATTGAGGACAAGAGGGGGGCTCTGGTGAGTGAGGATGTTTGTCCTTAAGGCTACCTGAGGAGGAGGTGCGGCCACGCTCTGCTTTTCGGTCATTGCTCCCAAAGACTGAGGGGATGGCCAAGCCTCGTCCCACCTTGGGCTTTGGGAGGGAGCCGCCTTCCCGACCTGCCAAGCCAGGTGGCCCCACGGATGCCACCTTGCCTCCTTGACCTTTCCAATTCCCCGCAATCCCCAGGAGAAGGAACCTGAGTCCTTAGAGGAGAGAGATGGGTGATGACGGAGGAGAAAGGGATGGAAAGCTGGCTGTTGAGGGAGTGGCCCCAGACAGCTTGATGACAGAGGCAGAGCAGCAGGACAGGGAAGTAACTTCATAGAGTCAGACCCATGGTCGAACCCCCAGCCCTGCCTTTACCAGCAGATCAGATGAACACTCTCTGCAAACTCGAAACAGTCAAAGCTTGATAATGACAACCAGTAGATAGGAGGATGGTCAGACCATCCCAGAGGCAGAGACTGTTCCAAATATTCTATACACAAGGGTCCTGGAGCACTTTATCCTCTGGACATCTCATTTTCAAAGCGGAGCCTCTGACACATTCTTGCTTCACTTCTCAGAAATTTCAGGAAGCACTGAGGGAGCCATGCTTCTGGGTGTAACTGTGACCTACAGGGAGGACCTTTGGTGCCAAAGCGTGAACAAGGAAAAGGCATCTACTTTGGGTGGACCCAGCCCTATGGATTCATACTTAGCAAGTAGAAAGTGACTATGAAATCGATCAAAAATGTCCTTCCCCCCAGGCTGACATTGCCTCCTTGGTCAAACATCCTTGTGGAAGGCACCCTGGAAATACGCCACTTTAAAGAAGGGAGGCTCAGTCACACATGGACCTTGACAGCATGCCCCCAAATCCTGAGTTTTGGATGTTACATGTTACAGGGAGAGTGTATGATCTGGAGAACCCTGGTTAGGCAGAGTTAAACACATTAATTCAGGGCAGGGATTCTCTATATGTCACATTATGAATCTCCAAGATAGGAATGTTGCATAAAGCATTTATTTCCCCAATGCTTTTGACCGTGGAAAATCTTCTTTTTTATGGAGGACCTCACAAAATAGAAAAAGGACTGAAAAGCTGTCCTAGGCTACAGAAGTGCAGATTTCACGACCAGCATTTTGCTAAAGGAAATTAAATTGAAGGCAGGTGGGAGGTTGTTAAAAATGAAACTCTGTGTAGATGCCTCTGAGTAACTTCAAAGATAAAAGAAATAAGCAGTGGGTTATCTAGGCTGCACATAAGAAAGCCCAGATTCAGAGAAGCTTGGGCATAAAAGAACTGTATTACCCCTGGAATCCAAGGCAAGCTTCAACAACCCAGCGGCAGGAAGGCAAGGGGGCAGCGTGAGG